AAGCATGGGTGTGCATATATCACTATGGTATGATTCTTTTAATTCTTTTGGGAAGATACCCACCAGGGGAATAGCTGGGTCAAATGGGCCCTTTAATCCTAGGTTTTTGAGGAATCTCCATTCTAATTTCCACAGTGGTTGTACCAGTCTACACTTTCAACAGTAGAGAAAGGATCCTTTTTCCTCACAGCCCCACCAGCATTTGTTATTGGTTGATTCATTTTTTAAAATTAATGTTATTGGTACATTTAAGGTGTAAAATATAATGACATCATCTTTGGAAATTTGCACCTTTATATAACCATCTTGGTTCTTACTTTTTCTCCATTTCCCTACCCCCCTTCAACCCCTCCACCTCTAGCTATCTATAAAGACTTTGTTTCCATTTTTTCTTTTTCTCATATTAATTCCATTCCCTTCTTTCTTTTCCTCTACCCCTCCCACATCCCCTATTTCTTGATAGCAGCCATTCTTTTTGGAATGAAGTGGAATCTCAGTGTTGTTTTCTTTTGCATCTCTTGAACAACTCGAGATATTGAACAGTTTTTTGTATGTTTACTTGTTGTCTTTACTTCTTTGTCTGAGAAGTGTTTGTTTAGTTCACGTGCCCATTTTTGGATTGGGTTTTTAAATTTGGGAGGTCTGATTTTTTTAGTTTCATATATATTCTAGATAGTAGACCTTTGTTTGAGGAACAGCAGGTAAATTTTTTTTCCTACATTTTGGGTTGTCTAGAAGAGGGCTCTTTCTAAAGTGGAGGAGACATATTGTGAATTAATTTTTTTATCTTATTGAGTTTATTGGTATTTTTTAAAAGTATACAGTACAGTTACATTCATCATTGGGATCTTGTACCCTTGCATGACAGATCTTGGTTCTCATTTTTTCCCCATACCCCTACCCTTGTTTCACCCCCTCCAACCTCCCCTGTTTATAAAGACTTTGTTTCCCTTTTTTCCTTTTCTCATGTTTTTTCTTGCCCCTTATTTCCTTTCCCCCACCCTTCCCACTTCCCCTACACCTTTAGCTCCTTTCTCCCTATTTCACATTATCAGTTATACAAATTAGATCTTATTTACACTTTTAGTTTCTCACACCAGAGAAACTATTCAGTATTTACATATGTGTCTAATTTATTTCACTTAAGAGTAGGGCCTCAATATACATCCATTTTCCTATGAATGACTCTAGTTTCTCATTCTTTATGGCCGAGTAGTACTCCATTTTATAGAAAACCCACATGTTCTTTATCCAGTGTGAATTAACTTTTAAAGGCTGATTCAGTAACATATAATTCCATTTGTTACATCCAATTTCTACTTTTCTTCTTTTTTTTTTTTTTCTGGTACCGGGGATTGAACTCGGGTCCTTGTACTTGTGAAGCAGGTATCAGAACCACTGAGCTAAATTCCAGGCCCAAATTTCTACTTTTCTAATACCATGTTGTACTTGAAATATTATTTATTTATTTATTTTGGTTTTTTGAGACAGGGTCTCATTATGTAGTTGAGACTGACCTGAAACTCACTATGTAGCCCAGGCTGGTCTTGAACTCAGAGCGATCCTGCCTCAGCCTCCCGAGTGCTGGGATTACAGGCGTATGCCACCGTGCCTGGCTTGTACTTGAAATTTTAAATTTTGAAATATCATTCATCTAATACAAAATTGAGTGTTTTAAATGATATATGTCGGTGAGTTTTAGTTTACTCACTAAATTAATTTAGTTTGTGCAGTCATCACCATTATCTCACTCAAGAACATTTCCAGCACTGCAGGAAGAAAACCCATACACCCAACAGCTGCTTCTGATCTGTCTTCTTATTAGTCTTGACAGCACTAGTCTACTTTCTGGCTCTTTGAATTAACCCATTTTGGACATTCCTGGATAGTTTTAATAAATCATATAATATATGATATATTGTGGCTTCTTTCACTTCATATATTGTTTTTAATATTTGTCTGCATTGTAGCAAGTAATAGTACTTCATTCCATTGTCTTACCAAATCATATTCCATTGTATGGGTATACATTGGTTTATCCATTCATCAGTTGCTGGACATTTGGGTTGTGTCTATTTTTGCTACCATATATAATGCTGCTATGAACATTTGTTTACAAGTTTTTGTATGAGCATATGTTTTCAGTTCTTTTGGGTATATGCCTAGGAGTACAATTACTGAATTATTTAATAAATCTGTATTTAACTTTTTGAGGAACTGCCAAGCTCTTTTTCCAAAGTCGCTGTACCAGTTTGTATTCCCATTTCAAAAAAGCATTTGTAACCTCTAAAGTTATTTATAACTCCCCCAGAATTTAGGCTAGTAATCTTTCCAGTTTATTGATGAAGACACCTAGGCAGTAAGTTGACACATGCTCTCCCAGGACCAGATCCAGGTTAAATCATTTATTCAGCCTTCTCCAAGCCCCTTGTTCAGCATTGTTGCCAGTTCTATGAATGCCTACTCTTGAGTCTGTGAAACTTCTTTCGGAATTTTTAAAAATGAGGACCAATCCCAGATGAGTGACGATTTAGGTGGAGTTTTCTCAGTATCAAAAGATGAAATGAATCAAATATTTGTACAAGACATGTATTGGATGGTGATCCTTAAATATAGATCCAACTTTCTATTTTCCATAATAAACTCTCAATTCTTGTTAGGTTGTTTTCTTTATGGAGGAAATAATGTGTGACCTGTGGGCATTTTCTGCTTCTCTGAAACAAACACTTCATAGCGAAATCATCTAATCCCACAAATTTGGGAATTAGCTAGTAACATAAGCCGAGAAAGAGCCTCAGTTGGAGAATTTGTACAGCTCTTCAGCTGTTCCAGAGCCGTTGCTGTATGTGGCTGTGTCTAACAGTCCTGTGCAGGAGGCCAACAGGACCACATTTTTTCCATCCATCGATGTCAAGTGAACTTTGGAGAGGTAGAGTGATTTGCTCCACATCATGCACATGAACCAGAAGGGGACTCTTGGCCAACGTAGTCTTTCTCAAACCCTGTTCTGCGGACTGGTGCTGATGTGGGACAGGGTTTCCACTGACCCATGTGGAAATAAGAAGAGTAGGGCACGTATGGGGTTTCCACATCACCAGAGTCACTCAGTTTTATGAACTATCTTTTATCCTGACATTAAGTCTTTCTTCTTTTTATGTTGGTTAAGTCATTTTGCTTTTTCAAGATGTGGTGGTAGTTGATAGTCACTTTTCCATATTTTAATTTTTATTTGACAAACCAAAATGTTGGCAACCTTAAAAGGTGATTTTCTTTTAACTTATCCATTCTATTTGCTTCAGAAGGGTCAACACCTTCTCTGGCTAATTATGCTGCTCTTTCATCCTACGAACTCTGTCCTTGCTGAGTAGAAATTGCATTCTCTTACAAATGTGGCCCATGTCACATGCAGCCACACTATCCAGGATCCCGATTTGTAGCTCAACCTTCTTGGCTACTGTGTATTTCACAGAGTCAGATAGTGAGAAAACATGTAGTCATGCAGGCAGAATGAGGGACTACCTCAGTTTCTAACTGTGAGTAGATACACCTCACTATTCAGTTTGTTAATTATTCTTGTGATTTTTTTGGGGGGGTGTCGAGTATGACAGTTCTAGCAAAGTGCAGTTAGCATTTATTTGAAAGGGTACAGCAAACATTCATTTTATTCATGGTTCTCTCTCTAGAAAGCAAGGCTCGACTCAGGTTAATTAACTTGCTCACATCACATACCAGTGAGAGGAACTAAGAAATGGAATATTACTCATCAACTTAGATCAAGGATGTAGCGCAGTGGTGCCAGGCCTGCCTGATAAGCTCAAGGTCCTGAGTTCAACCCCTGGTTCCACAAAGAAAGAAAGAAAAAAAGAAAGAAAGAAAGAAAGAAAGAAAGAAAGAAAGAAAGAAAGAAAGAAAGAAAGGAAAAAAAAAAGGAAATTACTCATCAACTTCAAAAGGTAATGGTGGGACCAGCATACAAATTACCAATGGAAAAATCCACCAGACTCTTGAGAACTATAGAGCAAAGGACACAGGGGATGAGGACATTCTCCAGCCTTCAGGGTCCAGTGAAGGCAGGAGTTGCTGGGTGGCAGATTACTCCCTCTCCTGGGGGGAGGGGCTTTCATAAGTGCTAAGTGGTAAGGGTGAGATGCTCAAATAAGTCTGAAGTGCATAAATTAAATTCCATTCTGTAATGTAGGACTTTGGATTTAATTTATTATGGGGAATTGTAAATATACCAGACAGGCAAAGGTACAACAGGCCTCAACCTTCTGGACCACAACATCCTCCTTGTTCCCCAAATGTTTTTCTCTCCCTTTTCAGGCATCCCTCAGAATTAGTTATTTTACAAGGCTCTGCTTGAAGGGTGTTCTAATTCGCAATAACCTTATAGTGGTAATACTTTCATCCTGCATTTATAGACAAAAAACCCAAGGCACAGAGAGGTGAAGACACTTGCTCAAGGTCACATAGTAATAGGGCCTGTATTAAACCAGACTGTCAGGCCTCAGAGGTGGTCTGTGAACCCCTGAAGTATACTGTCTCTTATTACTAAGTTGCTTCCTTTTTATCTATCCCTGCTATTTTCCCAAGTACTGTGTGTTTCCTCATGTAAATAAAGCTAGTAATCTAAACTGCAAAGATTACTGAAAGCTTCCAATGGACTTGGTGAGCTGTTGAATCTATGAAAGGTATGCGGAAAGACCTTGGAGTTTGGAGGGCAACAGGCGAGAGCCCACCTATTTTCATAGCCACTCCAGGCAGTGTGACCATGGCTAAGTAGTTAGCTCCAAGAGCCTCGACTCACATCAGAGATAATAACACCACAGTGTGTCCTGCACCGGAGTTGCCCTGAGAGTGCAAATAGCAGCCCAGGAAGAGGACAGCATGTGCCTCATGTGTTCATTGTCCTCTGCTCTGTCCCCCACTTCCTCTGTCCTACTCACATGCCCAAGTATGCATGGCGTTTCTACCAATGACATGGACTTCACCCTATGCAGCCCTCGCCTGCAGCTTCTTGAAGAACGAAGCTTAGGGGAAACCCAGGAGAAGCACTGTGGCCTAGAAGAATGGATTCAGAAAGGAAGCAAGGGCCAAATGTAATGTTTTCCTAGGAAACTGGAAACGCAACTGAACCAAGAGAGTGAGCTAAAAGAACCTTAAATTGTTCCCAACGGGCAACTATGGTACAGGTAAGTGAAAAATTGGACAGACATTGAAGACATCATATTTCTTTCATGCTACCAATTGAAGAAGCGGAAGATAACTGTGGACGGGAGGGAGGGTCCCTTCTGTGGTGTGATCAGGCCACCTGGGTTGTACAAGCCTAAAGAGTCCTCAAGCTTAGCCTGGATTCCTTCTCAGAGAAACCTGGGCATTCACCAGATTCAGAGATGCCTTTGTTTCCCCATTTTTGTTTCATGAAAGTGAATATAAATGGTAGTTTCTCCTACCATTCAAATACTAATCATCATGGGGAGAGACTGCCTCATATATTCAGTTTCCTCAATGAAAAAATGAATATGTTTAGTAACAACTAAATACCAAAGAGAATGGATTGAAGAACCTAGCATTTAAAAAGTCCTTTAATGCTATAACTTAAAGGATGAGGTCATAATGTTACAGATGATTTTGAAAATAGGGTAGAAGCCAGGATTCTGCAAACTTAAATTTGTTTTAGTTTTGCATTTTAGATTTCAATATTTTCCTTCATATATTGATAAATTTATATGATTTCAATTATAGCATATACCACTAGGTATGTTATAGACCTGGAAATTTGCACCTATGGTCTGGTTCACCTATATTTGCACCTATATTGTGATTTTTATGGCTTAAGTAGAAAAGGATGGCCTTTTAGGAAAGGAGAGAGTGACCCTCAGGTACAATTGGAATGATGCAACATCACTGAGTAAATCACGTCTCTATTAGTGATTGTTAACAGTTTCATGTAATTGTAGATAATCCTGTATATCCACTATGAAGTGTTTATAGCTGTTAGAAGCAGAGGTTCAACTATAGTATCTTAATCACAATTACAAAAAATAAATATATAAAAGCCAAAAGTAGACTGTTCAGGGCTGGTCTGGTCTTGTGAGAAGATGTTAGTGGTACAGCCTTCTTTTGTTTGCTTGCTTTATTCTAATTGCATTATTTCCAAGTTCAAAGTTACAACATGGCTCCTTGTGCTCTTGGTCCAATGCATGAATCCTAGGCAAGAAGTGGAAAGAAGGGGAAGACAACCCCGTGTGAGGACCCTCCCTAGAAGTTCTGTGTCCGAGCAGGTCATTTATTAAGTGGCTTTGGGAAAAGCTACAAGGACCCTCTGAGGCTCAGTTTCTTCCTTTTTTAAACAGACAGCAAAACTTCCTACCTCACAGGGGTACCTTGGACATATTCTTGCAAATCCAAAAATGCTTGACAAATCCAAGAGTTAAAGTAACCATGGTAACCTATGTGGGTTGCAATAGCTGGAATATTTCATGTCTGTGTTCTTGCTGCAAAAAACAAAACAAATCAAAACAAAACACAGATTACAGTCATTCACTGTCACTCCTTTCCCCATCCCATAGGACGTTTGGGAAGAAGGGGAAGTAGAACTACACCATGTTTAGTTGTTGTCAAAGGGAAGTTGGAGAACCATGAAGTTCCAGGCAGTGGTAGACATGATCAAACCCCACATCTTCCTATGCCTGTGTTTTCTTCCTGGGAGAGAGTAATAGAAATGCACCACTCCTGAGCTCAGAGGCAGGGAAACCCTGAGAGAGGCAGCTCCCCAAGCACCCACAGACTTCCACGCCCAATAGACATATGCCCCTTGTGTAGAGTATCCCTGGTCCTGGTGACAAAAAATGTAAGCTATTTGAAGGTGAGGATCGTTTATGTACCTTTCCATGTCAGTCACTGGAATCTAGAACTCCCTCAGTAAGAATGTGCTTATTAATTCTAGAGACTGAGAATGGCTCAAGTATGAGGTTTATTTATGCTATTTAGTCCTCCATTGTTGACTAGAGCTAAGAATGAGCACTTTTATTGATGCATATTTTTGAATAAAAATAATTATATCAGACCAGGGATTTAGTTCAGTGGTTCCGCTGCCTGCCTTGCAAGTTCAAGGGCCCGAGTTCTATCCCTGGCATTAGGAAAGAAACAAAAATTATATTACGACTTCTACCAAACATACTGAACATTTACTACATGCAAGTGCCTTGTATTTCATGTGTTAAACTCATTTAATCCTTTCTATTACTTACATCAGGTATTGGGCTCACTTTACAGAGGAAGAAACAGAAGCTCAGAGAGGGTAAGTAATTTGCCTAAGGTCCCAAAGCATAAGAGAAAGAGAAACAAGCTCAAAATGACTAAATCTGCACAAAGGTATTCCAGAAAAAAAAAATCATGGTTAAATTCTTAAATCGCTTTTAAGTGGCATTCAAAGACCTTTACTTCACCTAATTTGTTTATTGACACACAGCCCATCTTAGGGGAATAATTTAGTTTCTTAAAACTTGAATTTTAAAATTCCCCACCTCAGAGGGTGTCTGTGAAAATTCAGTGACACAGTATATTCATAGTGCTTGGCACACCGTACATGCTCAGTATATTTTAGCCATCATTTGTTAATTTGACAAGTTTCTCTATATCAGTGATTTACATGAGAATCATCAGTGGAAAATTTCACAGTATCGAGGTCTAAATCCCACACAGGGTATTCTGAAAAAGTTCCCCAAATGATTCTGATTCATATTCCCTTGTGAGAATCACTGCTGAATGTGACCCATGTCCATTCAGGAAGTATTTTGTTCAGGACATTGCGCTATGTGCTAAGAAGGATGAAAACTCTACGTTAATACTAACTGTCACATGAAAATAAGTAAATTAGAAAATAAGTAAAGAGATGCGCTATTCCTCTTCCAGTTGTGCAACGACGGACAATCTCAGAGCTGAACACAACTGGGTGAGGGTCAAAGGCTGTGGAATTGGCTAGCTAGGGATGGCCAGGGTAGTGAGTGAAGGTGAAAGGCATAGAAGTATGGTGAATGTCAATGGTACACTTTGGCTGAAGTGAGTCTCTGGGGAGCATTGCCAGAGGAGGCCAGCTGGTTGGTTGGTGGCAAAGAATGGAGGGCTTTGGAGTCCGGACCAATTGGGTTTGTACTGAATTTGCAGGATGGTGACAAGCCACTGGGATTTCTTGAACCAGAGCATTAAATGCTCAGAAATGCTTCTTCTCTGAGTAAATCAGGTGTTCCAATAGATTGGAAAGTGAAGAACCCAACAGCAAGAAATGTGTAAGGAGCTAGAGATGGCTACTGCATTTATTTGTCCAGGCTTCAGAGTGCAAGCTTGGACCAGGCAGGTCCCAGACAGGTGGTCAGGATAAAGGAACAATGATCTAACCCCGAGTGGATAGTAGGGGACTGGTGTGGAGAGGAAGAAATGAAGATGATTTTGAGATTTGAGCCTGTGTGATGAGAAGAACAGTGCTGGGGCCAGAAAAAGGGAAGTTGGGTAGCGGGAGGGTGGATGAGGAGTTCACTGTGTTCAGATTGAGATGCCTGGGGGTTAGGGGCACAAATGTGTGAGTTAAATGGAACTGTGACACCGTGGGAAATTCCTAGGGCTATGCACGTGTACCTGCCACACACACACACTCACACGCACACACTCACACACACACACACACTCACACACACACCTCAAAAAGTGAGTGAACAGCATGGAAGAATGGCGCTTGGAGCCCTGGCAGGGGATGTGCTCTTTGGGAAGGAAGGAAAATCATGGAATTTTAACCTGGGGTTTGTGAATAGGCTTTTTGGTTGGGGTGTATCTGTGAGCTCTTTAACATTTTAAGCAGAATATTACATGTATTTAGAAGTCTACAGTCTCATTGGATCATTTATCCTAAACAAGATTGAAAGTGACTGGTATATATAGAACGAAATGGGCTGAGATGCTACTCTTGGACTTTTTATATAGGGAGTACTGAATAAAAATATTCCAGCCCATCTCTGCATTCCTGACTGTTATACATCAGCCTATAGTGGCTGTTGTCTAACTATGGCTAGACTGTTGAATAAAGGTTGTCTTAAAAATGCTATTTGTTATTAAGACAATTTAGTAGGAGAAAAGTCATCTTTTCACCAGTGATATTGAGATAAATGGAAGTCTAAATGTAAAATAATGAACATGGATCCTCCATCTCACCCTGCATACAAAAATTGGCCAGCCACCTACATGTAAGAACTAAAACTATATAACTCTCAGAAGAAAACATCATTAACTGTTAATCTCTGTGCCTTGGATTGAGCAGTGATATCTTAGATATGGTGCTGAAGGCAAAAGCAATGGAGAGGTAAATTTCACTTCATCCGAATTCAGTTTCTGTGTTGCAGGGATGCTATCAGGAAGGTGAAAAGATACCTAAGAATGGAAAGAAATATCTGCAAATCATATGCCTGATAAGGGCCTGATATTCAAAATGTAAAGAACTCTGATAAAGGCCTGGTATTCAAAGTGAAAGACAACACGATTAAATGTAAGGATAGGATTTGAATGAGTGTTTCTCAAAATAAAATGGACAATAAACACATGGCAAAATGTTCCGCATCATTAGCCATCAAGGAAATGCAAATGCAAATGACAATGATGCTACTTCAGCACCTGTGAGAGTGGTAATATATCATCATCATCATCATCATCAGATAATAACGTGTTTGCAAGAAGTGGAGAGACATTGAGTTCTTACACATTGCAGGTAGGAATGGAAAGTGGTAAAAGTTTGGCAGTTCCTTATACAGCTACATGTAGAATTATCATATGACCTAGAAATTCTACTTGTAGGTATAAACCCAAAAGAATTGAATCCACATGTTCACATAAATACTTTTAGCAGCAGCATTCATAACGACAAAAAATTTAGAAACAACCCAAACATCCACTAACTGATGAATGAATAAATGTAATGTGCAATAGTCTCACAATGGAATATTATTCAGCCATAACAAGGAATGAAGTACTGACTCAGGTTACAACATGGATAAATCTTGAAATTATCATGCCAAGCAAAAGTCACAACAAGCAACATGTTTTATAATTCCACTTAAATATCTAGAGTAGAAAAATCCGTGAGATAAAAAGTAAATTAGTGGTTGTTGAAAGATGAAAATATTCTGGAATTAGACAATGGTGATGGCTGTCTGATCTTGTGTACAATTTTATAGTATTAGAAATTTTTTTTCTCAATAAAACTCTTCTGCTGTCTTTTTAGCCTCTGTCCACAACAGGGTGGAAATAATGTCCATTATCCAAGCAGGAAGAACATGGACAAAGGCAGAAATAGAAAGGTAAAGACAGACTGCAGGAAATGGTGGACTTGGCTGGTTGTATGCATGTTGGCGCATCAGGTGATAAAGCTGGAAAGGGTAAGTTGGGCCCAGAACAAGTCCCTTGGTCAGTCATTGAGTGAATCACAAATATCTGAGGCCATATCCAATGCCACGACGGTCCTCAGTGATTGAACAAAAAAGCCTGGTTCCCACCAACACAGGGCTCACAGTGGTGACATGAAACAGATATTTAATTCAAAGTCAATTAAGCAATTATCAGAGTATGAGGGCCTGGAAGTTCAGAGTGCTACAGAAACAAAGCATGGTGGGTGCTCGTTGGTGCTAGAGAATCCAGGAATATTTTCCAGAGGAAGGACAGTTTGAGCTGCAAAAGTTTTAAGTTCCAGGCCAGGGGATTTTGACTGCATATGAGGGTACGGGGTAGCCATTTAAAGGGGCAGTGCTTGCAGAGACAGGTGATAGGAGCAACGCCATGGAAAGGTTTGGCCAGGAATGGTTCTCTTTTTCTTTTCTTTTTTTGTCAGTACTGGGATTCGAACTTAGGACTTTGCACTTGTCAGGAAGGCACAGTGTGGCTGAGTTACATCCTCAGTGGCGCATAACCCACTGTAGGAGCCTCTTGCGGGTGCCTGGCTGACTAAACACTGTGGACTGCCAGAGAAGCAGTGGAAAGATGAGCATTCTCTCAATGGCCACAGTTCGTGTGCTTTGTTGGAGATCCTGCCTTTGCACCTCATCCTTCCGGATACAGTTGGAGAAGTCTTCCATGAAAAGACAATGCACCAGCATCATATGTATCTCTTCTCATTGCCAGAAGCAAATAACCAAGGACCCTACCTGGCAGTTTTATTTTTATTTTTTTTCTTTTTATTGAGTTTATTGGTACATTTTAGGTATACAGTACAGTTACATTCATTACTGGGATCTTGTACCTTTACATGACAGGTCTTGGTTTTCATTTTTCCCCTTGTCGCTGCCCTCCCTTCAGCCCCTCCTCCCCTCCGCATTTACGAACACTTTCTTTCCATTTTTTCATATTTTTTTCTTTTTCCTTATTCCCTTTCCCCTACCCTTCCCACTTTTCCTACACCTTTAGCCCTTTTCTTCCTATTTCACATTATTAATTATCCCATTAGAATCTTGTGTACTATTATAGTTTTTCACACGAGAGAAACTATTTGCTATTTACACATGTGTGACTTATTTCACTTAGGAGTATATCCTCAATATGTATCCATTTTCCTATGAATGAATCTAATTCCTCATTCTTCATGGCTGAGTAGTATGCCATTTTATAGGAAAACCACATCTTCTTTATCCAGTTTCCAACAGATGGGCAAATGGGCTGTTTCCAAATTTTAGCTATTACAAACTGTGCTGCTATAAACATTGGTGTTATTTTTATTTTGTAAGCAGATAAAAAGTCATCCTACAGTTCCATGTTTCAGGGGCACTTCTTTGCCTTTAGGTTTCCTGATGGGAGTTGTCACTATGAACTAAATCATGATGTATAGGTCCTGTGTGTGTGTGTGTGTGTGTGTGTGTACCTATGTCAGGGAAAGGTGAAGAACAGAGCACTAAAAACAATATTGTTTAATAGATGTACAGTATATAATAAACATTTATCTAATGTATGATAGATCATGCAGTATTTATCTAATGTGTGTATGTATATTTAATATTATTTTACATTAGATAAATAACACATGATATATTATGTACTAGACAAATATTTATTTACATGTAACAGTGTTGCCCTCTCCCTTCTTCCTCTACACAGTCACTTGTTTATCTTCGCTCCTTCCTTAGAAAGGCCCCTAAGTTCCAGCCACAACACAACTTGTGCGGATGTGGGTGCTAACAGGCAGCAGAACAGCCTTAAACATGTGCTTCATTAACCACCATGGCACCAGCCTTGGTGTAAAGACCAACCTGAAA